TTCGTACTCCCTATATATTACTAAATTTACTTAATATTCCTTATTATTCTATTAGAGCTATACTATAAGGATCCCGCTATAGTAGCGCTATGAGGGGAAGTTATAAATATTAAGGAGGATAATATTTAATATAAAATTAAGGTGATTGTAAAATATTATAAATCCGGTCGCTAATATTAATTTTAGGTTAAATAGAAAGGGTATCCGGATAATAAGAATTTATAAGTTTTACAAGAGGATATAAATTGCCCGGACCTTTTTAAAGAATATGAATTTAGGGAGACATAGTAGCGGCGTATTGGTAGTAGGCCGACTATTAAGTCGATAAGGGTTAATTAAATAGTAGGAGGAGAATAGTAATTATTTAGAAATCTAAAATAAAAATATAAAATATAAATATAAACCGTAAAGTAGAAATGTAAAATATAAATATAAAATATAAAATATAAATATAAAATACGGATATAAGATGTAAAATGTAGATATAAGACGTAAATATAAAATATAAAATATAAACGTAAAACGTAAATATAAGATATAAAATATAAATGTAAAATATAGATATAAGACGTAGGCGTGAAATATAAATATAAATATAAAATGTAAATATAAAATATAAAATATAAATATAAAATGTAAATATAAGATATAAAACGTAGATGTAAGATGTAGATATAAAATGTAAATATAAGGCGTAAAGTAGGGATATAAAAATAGAAATGTAAGGCGGAAATATAAAATAGAAATATTAGAGGGGATAAGAGATAGGAAGGGAAGGTAATTTAATTTAATATAGGATATTAATAAGGCGCTAAGTAGAGTATAGCCCGTATTTTCTATTATTACTCTAAATAAAAAAATCTTTAGTAGTGTCCGTTATTATTAATATAGAATTAAAATTTATAATTTTAAGAAGAATATTCCCGTACGCTACTACGCCTATTAATAATATTCGTAGATATTATTTTATATAATCTATTTATAATCCTCCCTTACGAATTTTAATAATTTATTTAATTTCCTATTTATAAATATTAACCTCCTATTAACCGTCTAACACTAAGGACCCTAATTATAATTAGGGGAGGGGGTAATACGAGTAGGAGAATTCGGTATTAAAATATTTATAAGAGAATTACTATTATTAGTAATAGGACCGCTAATAAGGGCTATTAAATCAATATTAGTATTAGTATCGCCGATATTACAATAATTAAATTTCAAATAGCCCTTATAATCGAAGTTTTTAATTCGGAATATATTAAATAATATTATAGGGAGATTATTATTAATAAAGCGTATTTATATTATAATTTAAAACACTATTGCGGATTAATGTAATTGTTATAAGAGCGGGGCGGGTAAGGGGTTACTAGTATTAGTAAGGTATATAATTTCGGCCGTTATATTTTATATATTGTTTTAAAGATTATAAATATTATAAGGGACTTTGAATATATAGTAATGTAGCGATAGCGAATATTGCGATTTTTCGTTAAACTTTGGAAGGAGAAGTCGTTAGTGTAAAAAAAAAAAAAAAAAAAAAAAAAAAAAAAAAAAAAAAAAAAAAAATAGGGGAGATAATAAGGGGAAGATAATATATTTTTAGTCTAGTAAGTATACGTATTAATTAAATAGAGTACTTTATATAGGTTTAGGGTTAGGGCACTAGTAAATACTTAAATTAAAGCGACGCTATATCCTAAATAGGTAAGGGGGCGGATATTATTAAAGGATAGGAAAGGAGCGGTTAATTAGAGGTTAATTACGGGTATAAAGCGAAAAGAAGGGGAGGATAGAACGAAAAAAAAAAAAAATAAGGAGAATAAACGAATATATTAATTAAGTTTATAGGGGAGATAGGGATTGGTACGTAGGTATATAATAGAAATATATATATTTATAATAGGGGGCGGTTTAAATAAGGGAGTAAATAAGGCGGCCGCGGAATTAAGGGAGGGGGTAGTAAATATAATTATAAAGGTAAGGATAGGAGGAAGAAGAGAGGAAAGGCGAAGAAAGTAAGCGGAAGGGATATTATATAAATAAAGAAGGAAGTCCCTATACTTAGGAACGTAGGTAAAAGGTAGGCTGAGGTGACTACGGTCGTGGCTATATGTAGGGGACGGTAAGTTAGGGGTTAATCCAAAAATATATTAATAACTACCGACTATAATAAATTACGCTCTATTAAACCTCTTTTATACTTATATAAATTCTATTTATCCGCTAACGAATATTATAGAGCCCTATACTAGTTTAACGTTTCGGCGTAATATTGGATTATCCTTCCCGCGAGTCCGACTTAATATAAGTATTATTGTTAGTAATCCTACGCATTAATTAATAAAGGGGAGTAATAGCCGCTAAAGTGCTTCCGTATACGAGTTCTAAGCCTCCTAATACGACCCCCCCCCTTATAAATTCTATCCTCGGAACTTTTGCAATTTATAATAAATCCCGGTCAAATAGCGGAGGGCGTTAGTATTGTACTATTGTAGCATTATTAGATTATATTACTGGTGAGGGTACGATATCCTCGCCCTTTAATTCGGACGAGCCATTACTTATAATAGCCGTTAATGCTATATTCCGGATATTATAGCCGCTTTACTACTAATGAACCGCCCGCTAGAATATTTATTACGCAAAGAAGTACTTCACGAGTAATAACAATAGAGAATAATAAAGTAAACAACTAGTTACTAGACAGAGCAATAGTACGTAACGATTAACGACAATCTTATTAAAGGAAGCTAAAGATAGGAGCTATCGCAAGCTTCAACCTAGAACCTCGTATACGATTTTACTGAGTGTGAATAAGATAAATATAAAATTAGTATAATATAAATTAATAATCCATCAACCTTAATAAAGGTTAATAGGACGAACACTCTTATATAATAAATTATATACTCTAGCGAATAGTTACTATAATAAGATAAAATATTTAGGTATTTATTAAAAATACCCTATAACATCTCCCCCTTAATAAAAGGAGAAGAGTGCTCGCTATCTATATAATATTATCAAATCTAACTATATATATAAAAGATCCGGTCATCTATTAAAGTCTTTATTTATTTACCTATATTTAGATTAGCTACCTAATATAAAAATATATATCTACCCGAATAGAACATACAACTCAATAACCTAGTACCAATCCTTTAGTAACCGAATTCGCAATGAAATATATAATTGTTAAAATTATCTTCCTCTATTTCCTTATTCTTATTTATACGCTATATATTTTAATAAGAACGTTTATATCTTAGTAGAGAATCTTCTTATTCTTAGTCGGTAGGAAAATAACCGTAGCGAAGAAAACGGGCAATAAATAAAATATTGAAGCAAAAATTAGAGCGAACCGATATTGTGTAAAATTTGTCCGATAATCCCGTTAGGCCGGGTATATATTAAAGCGAAAAGTTATTAGAACGAATATTATAAGGAATAATAATACTAAAAAGGGTTTTAAGTATACGGATTTTATTAATAAACGAAATTGCGGGATAGCGGCGAATATAAACTTTTTATACCTCTCTAAACTCGGTATAGAGGGTTGTTAATTCTATTTATAGCTTTTGTACAATTTTACTCTAATATTCGTTAGAAGTTATTAAAATCTTAATTTACTTTTTTAAAGTATTTATTAATATACCCTTAATTTCTTCGCGAGAAATAAAGTTAATAGGTAGGGCAACTTCCTTATTAACTTCAATAATATAATTAATTACCTTTTTAATTATAGGAAGTTCGTTTAAGGCCGATTCGGTAAGTGCTACTTAAATACGGTAGAAATAACTAAATTTATTTAATAGACTACTAATCTATTTAGGGAGCCTAGTATTATAATTAGAATACTAAATAGTAAGTAATATCGCTTTTAAGGGGATATAATTGGTAAAATTGGCATTTCCGTTGCGTCTTTTATTAAAAGTAAAATTAAGAATTGCCTTAGTATTACGAACTAATTTGTATTATAAAAAGGAGTAATTATTAGTAAACTATTTCTTATACTCTTCTTTATTTTTTATATATACTTTAACAATCTTCTTAATTTCCGTATATAATTTTTAGTCGACTTTAATATTAAAATTAGCGTAATTTTTATTATAATTAGCGAGGGTATTAGTAAAGGTCGGATATATTTTTCCTTTATTACTATTTTTACTAGTAGTAACCGAGCGTGATTGTACGATATAGATTAGAATTTTATATACTTTTCTCGGAATTACTTTAGTAATTGGGGTCTTAGTACGAAATAAAATAGGGGCCGGTTTAATTAAAGGTTATAAAGTTTTACGAATCTTATTAACTAGCTAAGTGAATTCTCGGTATTTTTAAGTTTCGGAGAAGTTAGTATTATTAATATTAATAATATAGCTATTAAGATAGATATTATAAAGAGTAGACGGGTAGTATACTTAAAGACGTTCGCTAGTAGTAATTAATTCCTCTATATATCCTCTTCTAAAAAAGATATTGCTAAATTTAATAGTAATTGTAGGAATTAAATCGAATTCTCCGCTAGAGTATAACTCCCAAATTTTAATATCGTTAAATCTAGTAAGAACGTTAGACTCCTACTCCTATTAGGATCTATTATAATTATTAGGAATTAAGTCCTTTGGAAGTCTATTTAATAAAAGTACGGGCGTAAAGTAAATAAGATTATTATTAATAGAATATAGGATTACCGAATCTATATTAATTAATTTACTTATACGATCGATAGTATTATAAAGAATAGAATATAATTTATTCTCGTATAGTATAAAGAGATAATTGGCAATTATAATCGGCATTAGGCGTTTACCGTTTTCCGCTTTCTTAGGGTTATAAATAAGAATTCCTTAAGTAAATTGGAAGGATTTACCGGGAAAATAGCTAAGGGGATTATAGGGGTTATAATTTTAATTGAAATTATTAAATGTATTAACGGTATATTTATAGCGAATATAATTAAAGAAATGTCCGAGCGAGATTAAATTTATTTATTCGATAAGGTTGGTTATAAAGCTAGGTAGTACAACGTATATACTATCTATTTCTAAATTAATAATTTTACTAGGAATACTATTAATAATATAATAATTGAGGTATTTTGCTGTATTAGCTAATACGCCGAATTGGGGGTCGTATTCGAGTAATTATAGGGCGAATTACCGGTTTACTATAAGATTATATAAATTACTATTATAATTAGAACTATTAACTTAATTATTAAAGGCTGCGAATAAATTATTAGCAGGCGGCGGAAAATTCATATTAACGTCGGCCATCTTATTATACTATAATTATAATTAGTAAATATAAAATAAAAAAAGATTAATAAATAATAATTAGTTCTAATAAAATTATTATATAAAACCGTAATAGAATTAAATGTATAAAGATAGGGTAAATAGTAATAAAGTTATTAGGGTAAAAAGGAGAGAGTATAAGAATAATTAGATAATTTTAATTCTTTTAAAAATTATATATACGTACTAAAACTCTTCCTTTATAAATATTTACTTACTAGGGCCGTTTATTGTATATAATTGTAATTACCGCTACTTTCGTACGATTGTACGTACCTACCTAATTAGGATGGAAATGTTTTTAATTGAAGTTATAAGTAGCGTACAATATATTATCCTATATACTATTAATAATAGGCTTACCTCCGCTTGGACGTGCTTTTAAGCGAAATTTTGGAAATCTTAATAAAAAATATAAAAAATATAATTTCCGTAGGAAAGTCCAATATAGAAAGAAAATAGAAAAATTTTAAATAAAAGAAAAATTCTTGAATTTTTATAGTTTTTAAATAATCTCCCCCTCTTTTAATAAAAAACGTTATATTTTCTATTAATTCTAGTGCTATTTTTGTTGAAATATATTCTTAATATACTAAATTACTTTCCTACAATTGCTTTGGAATAGTAAATTTAATAGATATTCTTTATTAAATTTTTTTACTAATTCCTTCGAATTCCTTATGAATTTACTATATAATTCCTATATATTATCCTTATTTTAGTACCCGGTCTATTTAATTAAATATTGTATATCTTCCAAGCCTTAACTTTTAATAACGAGATTTTCAATTTCCTATTCCTCTTATTTATTTATCTTAATTAGTAATAATAGTAAAACTTTATAATTAAACGGATTGGAACCCTATACTAACTTATAAAAATATACTACAAATATAATAGGATAAGTACGCTAAGTATTAGGTAAATTAAACCGGTAAACTAGTAGGTTAATTTTCTTAAGAATTCGATAAGGACCTATTCATTCTACTAACTATTTTCTCTTTAGGCTCCTAAGGAAGTAATAACCTTTATTAAAATATAAATAAATTTTATTACCTATATCGAAGGTTACTAGGGAGTATTTAAAATTATATTGTTCCTTTGTAACTATTCTAGTCCGATTAATGAATTTTACGGCTTCGAGTTAATATTTTTAATGAATAATTATTAAAGATTCTATAGTAGTGGCTTTCTAATTATTTAATATAAGTAAATCGAAGGCTATTCGCGGTTTAAAGCTGTATATAAACTTATTTAATAATAAACTAATAGTAGATTAGATAGTATTATTCAAATTATATTATAATATAGTTAGTATTAACATCTAAGGAATAATGCTTATTGTATATTATATACGAATGGCCATTTTAATAGTTTAGTTAGTTCTTTCCAATTAGCTATCTATTTAAGCGTAATAGGCCATTGAGAATAATAGATTAATTGCTAATACTTTAAAAATATTCCTTTAAATTGTAAAAATAAATTTAAAATTTCGGTTATTAATAATAATTATTAGTAAACCCTAATTATAGAATTATAAAATCTAAAGCAATACTTTAGCCTATTCCCGTATATTGTAAATAGAATGATTAGCTATTAGTAGTACCTTCTTACTAAATTTGTAAGTAATAATATATATAGTATTAAATTCTAGGAAACCCTTAAGGGCCTACATCGTACTAGCCGCTTTAACTATCGGCATATCAGTAACGAAGTCTATAGTAATAGTGTAGAATAGTCTTGGAAATATCCGAATTAGTAGTAATTCTCTAGGGGTCGGTTACTTATTTTGCTAATTTTAATAATAAATTTCGCAATGTTTGACGTACTCGCGCACTATCCAAGTTTTTCGCCTTATATAGAAGTATATTAAGTTATTTATTATCTAATTAATTCTAAAATAGTATTTTTTATTATATATTAGCTCTAGTATTTTTTGTATATAAATCCAAAGAATATATAGCCGACGTATATTTTAATAATCGATATAATAAAGTAAACTATCTTCGAGTAAATAGGGGCCTACTAGTAAATTTGGACACTTTTTTAACCGTTGTATATAGATATACCTTAGAATATTAGCCTTCTCAATTAGCTAGAGAACCTTAGTATATTTTAGGTCCTTAGGATAAATATTAATTAATTATTAATAAAATTCTAGTATAATAATCGGCGAAATTTAACGAGTGTCCGGGATAATTATAATATATATAAATAAAAATACGTTAAAACTATTCTAATAATTAATATTCTATATTTATATAAAATTAAATTAAATATTAGCTAATTTATTAGAAATATTATTCTCGTTAATAATTTCGGTAGTTAGTAACTTTAATAGTATATCCGGTATAATATTTAATAGGCTAAAAATATAGAATATATTTAAATTGAATTAGGATATTTAATTAGTGGTATTTATAAACTTTAAATTAGCCTTAACTAAATCTATTATATATAATGAAGTATATTTAATAATTCTAATAGTAAAAGCATAGTTAATAATAATATTAATACAATATTCGTTAGACTATACTATCTTTCGGAGCTTTTATAATACTTAGATAATAATTGTAATTTCTACTTCCGTAGAACTGTACTTCTTCTTAGTAGGGGACGTTAATTTTAATAGGAAATATATAAGTTTAATTATAGTTAATAGGATTTTACTTATTCTAGGAATAAATTCTCCGTTCTATAGGTATTTAAATTAAAAGACGTAAATACTATATACTGAACCATTAGTGTCAATTTTAATAAATAGCGCCTCGCTCTTTATATAGTAAAAAAGATATACTTGATTGTATAGGTTTTCCTATATAATACGGAAAGTTTTGTATTCTTTTAAAGTTAATTTAAATTTAACTTTAGAAGTATATATTCGCCTTATTTATTTTATTGAACTTACCTACAAATTACCCAATTTATATACTTACTATAATAGTTCTATCTTTCTTCAATTAAATAGTTCTTCTTTAATAGCGAATTACAGTATACTTTAATATAGCTAATTAATTATATTAAAATAGGTTTTAAGACTATTAAATATATTGGGGAAAGTTAGTTTTTAGAAGGTTTTAATACGATTTTCCGTACGCTTACAATCTTTTCTATCAATAATACTACTAAGTAGTTATATAGAAGGATACCTTGCAAAAGACTTATTAGCATTAATATAAATACGATATTTATTAAGAAGGTCTATAATAATAGTAAGGTAAGTTAAATATTCTTCCTAAATATTATTAAAAATAACAATATTATTAATATAAATACGTACGAATAAACAGTATTCGAAGAATAATTAGTCTATAAAGTACTATATAAACGCTAGAGAGTTTTTAAAGCCTATTAGTACAATATTAGACTATTTAAAACCTCGGGGGTTAATAACTATTATACGGTTACGATATTTAATAAAAATAGGTAATTAATAGAAAAACCTAGCGGCGTTAAAGATTAAAAAGAATTTCTTACTAATTATAGTGTTAATAATATTTTTTTAGTCGGGCAAAGGATATATGTTTAGTATAGTAATATTATTAAGCGAGCGAAGATTAATTATTATACGTCCTTTATCGATTCTATTAATTTTTTTTTAGACGATAAATATTAAGTAAATAATAGGAGTTAATTATAATATAAACGATATTTTACTTTAAATATATATTTTATTATATTCCTTATTAAAGAATTCGCAATCTTTAATATTTAAAGGGTAAAGTCTAATAATTCTCTATTAATTTTATTATCCCTTAATTAAATTAATACGTATTTTATCTTCCTTTTTTATTAGTACGATTCCTCTATTTTTAAAAATATTAATATACTTATTTAAGAGGCTCTTAATTTGTTCTAAAAAATCGGGATTTGTATTGTAAATATTAATACCTATTTTAAAAAGAATAGTTTTAATATTGATGGGTTTAGTAATTCCGTAGGAGGGTACTTCGAAGGTACTCTTTTTAATGGCCTCTTCCTTTTCATCCTTAGTAATTCTATTAATAAATATAATATATTATTTTTAAGTAAGTCCGGCTTAAACTTTAGGGACGAGAAATACTATATTTGAAACGTTAATTAATATAGTTATTTCGCTAACTTTATACGATAATTATATAATTATATCTACCCGAATTCCTTTAGGGATAAATATTAATTTTTCGGATTAATTTAGAAATAATATAACTTTACGAATTTTATTATTTATAATAGCATTTAATAGATAAGGGTATTATATATAAAAATTGTAAGCGGGATGTTTACTTAAATTATATTAATTATTAAGTTAAATATTATATTTTATTAGGATAATTTTTAATTACCTTCCTAATAATAAAATATTAGACTTAGCGAAGACTTTAGTAATAAGAATGTCCTCCCCCGCTTCGATTCTTTTAGAATAGATTTCACCCTGGACCTTTATACTAAAAATTAATTTAAAAGAATATAAAATAGTATTAAAATCTAATTTTACGCTATAAAAGCGAAGGAAATCTATTCCTAATAGTATATTCAGGCCCAATTTATTAATAATTAAAATAAATATTTGGAAGTATCCATTAACCTTAATACTATTAACCTTTCCTTCTATATAGAAATTAAATTTAGTAACTATATTAATAATAGTCTTCGAATTAATACCTTTTATAACGTTAGACAGTACTACTTTATACTTTATATTTAGTAAAAACTCTTTAATAAACGCTTTACTTACTACCATTAATAAATAACCCAAATTAAAATATATAGTAATAACGGGTATACTAAGATTGGATTTAATATTAACCTATAAATATAATATGACTTTCTACAAATTAGTTTCCTTATTCCTAAAAGTAATA